CAGGTTGCTCAAAGCCTCATCCAGCCTGGCCTTAAACCCTCCCAGGGGGGGGCCATCCACAACTTCCTTGGGCAACCTGTTCCAGTGTCTGACCACCCTCACAGTGAAGAACTTCTTCCTAATATCTAATCTAAACCTCCCCTCTTTCAGTTTAAACCCATTTCCCCTTGTTTTGTCATTAATTGCCCTTATGAAAAGTCCTTCCCCAGCTTTCTTGTAGGCCCTTCAGGTACTGGAAGCTGCTATAAGATCTCCCCGGAGCCTTCTCTTTTCCAGGCTGAACAGCCCCAACTCTCTCAGCCTGTCCTCATAGGAGAGGTGCTCCAGCCCTTGGATCATCCTGGTGGCCCTTCTCTGGACTTGTTCTAACTGCTCCATGTCTTTCTTGTGTTGGGGGCTCCAGAACTGGACGCAGCACTCCAGGTGGGGCCTTACAAGAGCGGAGTAGAGGGGGAGAATCACCTCCCTTGACCTGCTGGCCACGCTTCTCTTGATGCAGCCCAGGATACGGTTATTGGCCTTCTGGGCTGCAAGCACACATTGTCTTATATATTGCTTTTTCATTATTTGGATCTTAATGGCAGGATGAAGGAAGAAATTTAACTAGTGAAATCCAGTATTTCTTCTCTGTGAATATTGGACTTCTGATGTCGCATGCAATTGCTGTAGATTTGCCTTAGGACGTTTTTGCTAAAAGTTCTCATACTTTTTCTCTTTTCATTCTTGATTGAAGAAAATAGGTATGTCAGCACTGTCTGAACAAATAAAACACATTTTTAATTATTCCAAAGACTTTTTATGTACAATGAAGAGATGTTTCATTTTGTTGCTGGTAGTCAGTGGTATTTCTGCCTTGAGAGTATTGTTTCCTCTCTAGGAGGAGTCTCACAACTTCAAATAAGAGTAGGATGACACCAGTGGCTCATGTGTGTTGTTTGTTTGGTTGTTGTGTGTGCTGGGGTTTTTCTTTTGTTTTGTTTTTAAATCTCTAGTTCTACTTGCTAAAATTTTATTATGTAAGTGAAATTTTTGACATTTATCAAACCATATGTTAGATCTGTATGCACTAAAAAGTTCTAACAGTGTGTATGTGTACATGTATATATGTTTTGTGTTGTTTTTTCCTAGACGATTCACCAAACGGGTATATGTGTCTTTACCAAATGAGGAAGTAAGTATTATTTTACATGCATTTTCTTCATTTTAAGATAAATTTTATTTTAAAAGAGTATATTCCACAGGCTATTCTCACTTGACATAGTGGATGGTTACAGTTCTGTGAATTAACTTCTGGCCCAGCTTGACCATATACGCTAGTGCTGTAATTGTGAGGAATAGCTTAAGTTTTTGCAATTTTTTTTGCATTTGCTAGTAGCCAGTCTGGTAGTAGCTACTCAGTATTTCTTGGCTAGTGAGATGTTGCTTACGTACTGTCAGGCACCGACAAGTCTGAAGTAGGGCTTGCAGGAGCCTGTTTGGTTGGCTGGAGAAGAGTGTTCATTGCAAAAAATGAAAGTACCTTTCTTTAAAGTAATGTTTTTCAGCTCAACAGCAGATCAGGGCTTTTGATGAGGATTCTAACGTATTATTCTTGAAGTAGTTTGATTCTTGATCTTGTTATTACTAAATAATGATTTGTACTGTCTAATCACAACAGCACTATAGGCAAGTTTAAACTAGTGAAGCACAAAAGCTAACCTGACAAACACGGCAACAGAATTTTAAGTGTACTGTGAAAATGAGTTTTACATCTGATAAATGTATCTTCTTTTCAGACAAGATTGATTTTGCTGAAAAATCTTCTAAGCAAGCAAGGAAGTCCATTGACCCAAAAAGAGCTGGCACAACTAGCTAGGTAAGTATTTTGTAACTATACTAAATAAATACACTCATCTCCTGCATTCATTCAGACTGTTTTATTCATTGAAAATGTAACTAATGTAAATCATCAGACAGTGACAACACTTGTGGAGAATGAATTGCATGTGTTTTGAGAAGGTGGTCTCCTGTCAGGCTAAATGCAAGTGTTTTTATGTATGCTTTTATATACATATGTCCTTGTTTTTCTTCCTACACCACCTGGCTGTGTTTCTGTTGTTGAATCATGCTCATCAGTGCTTTTCTTTCTGAGGAGGAGGGAGGGGGATGCTTCTCTCCACCCATCCCCCAAGCAGTCCAGCCCTCCTCCCTGATGCAAAAAGACAGTACCAGTTTTGCACTTGGCATGCATTTTGAATCAAAAGCAACTTTTCTTTGCTCATCCATTGCTAGGTTTGTTGAAGGTATTACCAACATAGCAGAGCAAGAACTGGATAATTTTAGATTCTTTTCAATTTCATATTTGATTGGGAAAGGGTGGGTTAAATGCCGTTCCTATTATGAAATAAGTTGTTTTATGTTTTTCATCATTAAGACTGACACAGTACTGCTGTTTGTCACCCTCAGAAATTACATGTAATGAGTGTGAAGGAAGTTAGACTAAAAAGCAGGTAGAGCACCTAGGGCAGGAAGGAATGAAAATAGAGTGTGAGATATGAAAAATATGCAAGTGGATGTACTTCAGTCTTTGTTTCTGTTTGTGGTAGTACACAGAAGCTGAGTACAGTCTTGGATGTAGCATTTGTCAGCCTCTTAGTAACATCACAGAAATTTGATGTGTAATCCAACTGAATACATTCTCTCTGTACTTGAAGCATGCTAGCTCAGGCCATATTTAGGCTGCAGTAATAGCAAACTGGAGGAAAAAGATAGTGTCTTCGATTCTAACTGCAAATTTATGAATCAAATTACAAGTGCAACTTAAGTATACTTTTTTTTCCCAAAGGTTTTAGAGAAAATATATAAGTTGGAGGTCCTGCCTATTTCATCTTCCATCTGTCTTTCTTTTGAAAGAGGCAGATATTTAACCTTCTTCATTATTTTGTGTTCCCTCACTCCTCTGCAACTTTTTCTGTCAACTATAACAGAATTAATGATCTCTAGAAGACTGAGCTATGAAGATTTCGTGCTGCAGCTAGCCACTGCTCTACAAGCTGGGCGGGGTTTTTTTGTTTTTAAAATTTTCTTAGGTAACCCTTACAACTTCTTTTCACTTATATTGGCAGTATGTATTGTTGGCTTCCTGGTTCAGTGGAGACATTTAATCTGCAAAGTATTTAATTGTTTAACTTGGAAATAAGTCTAATTCTGGAAAAGCTCCTATAGAGATTGGGTCCTTGGTTTGAATGGTTTTTTGGGGTGGTTTTCCCTTGTGATTCTGAGGATTTGGATGATCTGTATTCCTGCCAGTCCTATAGAAAAAAACAAACAAACAAACCCCGGTAGATAACAAAGTTCATCTTCCTTTCATTTCACTTACAGAATACCTGCACATTTACACTATATTATTTCCCAAATCAATGGGAAGTGTGTGCAAAATACACTTACAGAACCTGTTTCTTCCTGAATAAGGACCTGTCCAGTGTATTTCATTTCTAACCTGAATTATAATTCCTATTGGAAGCCAGATGTGTAAAGTGTTCAGGCTTTGGCAGATAACCACTGAGGCTGTGGCTCAGGCTGTTGCAGCCATCTCAAGTCCCTCAGTTGGTTCTTGGTCATTAGCAGTTCCAGGTTTAGGCTTTAACGTTGGAATCAGTTGGTGAGTCAGATTTAGCTGTGCTAGAGATCATTTTCCATGTGTAAACTACAGGAGACTGTTTCAGTACTCAGCTAAAACGCAGACTGTAAATTCAGGCAGTTGAGAAGCTTGCCAAGTACTTGGAGAGTACAGTCTATCTGTTACCAAACCTTCAACACTGAAAAAAGTCTTCCACCAGAAATCATGCTGTCTGTATGGTAAATTCGTAAGCAAAGTGGTGCTGCTTTTCAGATCTGTATTTAGTCTTCTGAACTGTCAGAATTTTGTACTCCCTGGAGTCCACTGGTCAACTGCTACCATGGCTTTCCATTAAGGGCAGACTGCAAAACTTTCACTTATTTTCAAAAACAAACACTACTGTTAGATTTTTAGTAATGCCTGCTTTTGCCCCTTGTCAACTAAAGCTGATGTGACAGTTTTATGCAGAAAACTGGTCATGTGATCATATAATAATAAACGTGTGGCATTGGGTTCTCATCGTATTGATTGGGTTGGAGGAGTAGAGTTGAATTTTGGGTTTTATATTAATCTGTGACAAATGATGACAAACTGGTGGCAGGACATTCTCGTAACAGACATAGTAAACATGCTTGAGATTAGTTTTCATCTACAAATCCAAGGTGGTTGCTATCTTTTTGCTTTTTCTAGAATGTTGTTTGGCATTTGAGTAGCTGTACTTTAAATTTAATCTGGGAAAGACTTAAATATAGATCACTTAACATTGAATGCACTTCTGATTTATTAAACTTGCAAAACAACATCAAAATAATACTACTTCTGATTAAGTAACATGTTAATAATCTGTAATTAAATTGATATGGTTTGAAGCAGGTGTTTTGTTTTGTGTTTTTTTTTTTTTTTTTCTTCTTTCCCTTCCACTTTCCTTTGACAAAGAATGACAGATGGATATTCTGGAAGTGACTTAACTGCATTAGCAAAGGATGCAGCACTGGGCCCTATTCGAGGTAAGCTGCATAGCTTTTTGTTTAAGTTTTGTGAAAACTCAGTGCCCTTGATATTAGAGATACTATATTTTCCTACATCTTTATGATTCTTAAACCTATGAAAATAAGACTGGATTTTGGTCTGTTCTTCCTAATAGCATCTCTAAGACTTGCTTTACATAAAACCCTTCAATACCTCACCATGTGAAACAGACAATTTTTGCCTCTTGAGAGGAAAGCAGGGTGAAGTGTTTTTCACAGATTTGTGGGGTTTTTTATCTTTCCCTGGCTGGTGTCAGTTACAGAACTAACTGTAAAAACAGTTAAACAGTAAAAACTAACTGCATCTAAATTATTACTTCAGCAGCAGTCTCTGACTGCATCACTTGTCTTTATAAAGTGGGCAGATCTCTTTCAAGTCTAAAGGAAGGAAATACTGAAACACAAGCAGTTTTGTGGGTTTTTTAGATATAGTTTGAATTGCATAGCTTTTTTAAAAATCTTCTTAAGGTTGAATTGTGATCCAGATTATGGTTGTGGCTCGAGTTCTACCTGTATTTTTTTTTCTTCCTCTGTATTTCCAACTTTGAAAAAACACAATTTTAATGCAAAGTGAATGCTTCTTTACAGACCCTATCCCCTTTTGTTCTGTTTCACTAGCTAGTTATTATATGTCCAGTAGCCAAATCTGAAAGGGCTGGTTTTGTTTAGTGGAGATCAGTAGTCAGATTTTGTGAAGACAAAATAGTGAAGATTTGGTGTTGGTTTTCTGTTGGCAGATATATTGTCCTACCTGACAGAAAAGTGCTAAAGGCAGCCAGAACAGGAGTGTTCTGTAATATCAGCCTATTATGTGTAAATAAAAGTTGTTGCAACTCCCTTAAATGATTTATGGGGAGGAAAGGTCTGTGCATGTTTTGTGGGTGTGTTTGGGTTGGTTTTTTTGTTGTTGTTGGTTGGGTTTTTTTTTAATTGAGTCAAAAATCCTATAGCTTGCAGTTTTGGCAGTTTTGCCAGTGCACTGTCTCTGAGAGCAGCTGCTGGAAAGTAACGTTTTTTTACCCACTTATACTTCTAGCTGTTGAGATTGTAAGGCACATCTTCCAAAATCCCACATAGTAACTGAGAGACAGAATTGCATTAAATAGCTCTCACAAGACTTTGAATATATTTAAGTGGTTGAATTAATAATGTAGGCATTTAGGTATGCAGGCTTTACTTTGCTGACAGATCACTTCACATGCAAGTCCATTTTGAGAAGAGACTGTGAAGCGTTGTGCAACCTGTTTCTTCTACCTGGTCCTGGCTTCCATATAAAGCAATTTATTTTTTTAAAAAAGCTTTTTAAGCCTTGCCAGTCCTGCCTAGATTGTTTTTCTTGCACCCTCAGAGCAAAAAGTTTGCTGGAATGTGCTAATACCATAACAGTATTGCAAGTAAAAAAAGGTAAAACAGTGAAGGATATGGGAATTATTAGATTCCACCAGTATTGCTTGGGGCAAGAAGCACTCCCGTGTGCCCTGCCTGATTTTATTTCTGTATTCTTGAGTGACAGTACCTTTCTGTTTCCTGAAAATTGTGCCTGTTTGAAGGGTGGGGGGGTTGTACCAGGAATAATATGGGGGAAGGCAGCTCTGTTACACTTGGGTATTGTTCCCCATCCTTTAGGAAGAAGGAAGTAGTTCGTTCTGCTACCACTTTGTACTGTATCTGCAGTGATTGAGTGTGGGAGCAGCCTGGTTGAGGAGCTGATAAATGGGGAAGAAGGAGATAAAAACACCATGTACCTTTCTGTACAGGAGATTATATTGAGGCAGAGAGGTACAGTTTCTAGCTGTGGGGTTTTTTCAGAACAGAAGTGCTTTTAACATGCTTTAGTTGTCAGGAGTGATGAAAGTTTTCTTACGGAATTCACTGGTCTTCCTTTATTTTTACAGAATTAAAACCAGAACAGGTGAAGAACATGTCTGCCAGTGAGGTATGCTGTTCTAGCAATTGTATTTTCCCCTTTGAGTAGAATTTATGCTTGACAGAAACTTTTAAGGTTCCTTTATTTATGCATAGTATCATGCAAAATACCTAGCATAATTTTTTGGGGGTATTACCCTTTTTGATTGCTTCTTAATTGAAGAAAATTCTTTACAAATAGTGATTGAGAAGAAAATCTGTCCTCTGATGTCTGAGGTTCTTTGTGTAGTTCACTGGTTATCAGGCTTAAAAGAGCACTTTTTTTTCTGATAGGAAGTGTCTGTTTTTCTTAGTTTCAGCTGACTGTCCTAGCTTTTCCTTGGCACTGAACTGCAGCTTGATCTGTTACCTCTCAGAGGATGTCAGGGGCCTGGCTTTTTTCTTACAGTATTATTGCCTCAAAACATTCCCAGAAGTATTATGTCAAATTATTTATTTAATTTTTACCTCCCTGATCCCACTACCCTGTCTTTACATAAAGCAAGTCAGCTTAGGGAGAACCTCTCAAAAACCAGTTTTGTTTGTGTATATATATCTAATACTTACATTCATTCAAATGGACCATCATAAAGCAAAGAAAAGAAATAAAAGATTAAGTAAGTTCCTTACCACAAGCTGCACCTGTAAACATCAAAAGAAAAGGAAGAGGTTAGTCCTGTGTATAAAAGTTTCTGTTCAAATGTGTGTGCAAGCCACAGTTATGTAGGGGAAAACATACCAAAACTTAATTCCCTTGTTACTTTCTGTGTTTAGCCTGAGATCATGGCTGAGGCTATGATAAACTGAAAGGATTTGTTGCAGGAAGATGAGAACATCTGTGATAATTTGTTGTGAATGCAAGTTTACTTCCAATAGCCTGTAAAAGCTAGTCCCAAAGAAACATGAGGAATCTTCTCCAATTGTAATGTTAATACTCCTTTAATAATGAGACTGCTTGTTCCACACACTTTGGTTATCTCCCATCCTGTCTGGACATTTCTCTATGTGGGAAATGTCTGCTTATAATTATGTCCTCAACAAACAACTGAAAGGCATGTGTTGAATCAGAGAGCTTAAATAATGGGGATTACTTGGCTGACAGCATACTGTGGTCTGAATACAGTTGTTGTAGGGATGGGAACTTTCAGTGCCTTACTCTCCTGGTATGCAGAGGTATGCCATAAATGTGTTGGAAAAAATCCCATGTCTTACTCTTGACTCAGTTCTGTGCCCTCATACGCACCAGCTTGCACCACCTAGTGAAATAGGAAGTAATAACACAAGCTCACGGGCTATTAAATAAAAAGGCAGACATTATGATTACCAAATGTTAGTTTATACTAACAGTAAATACTGATAGTCTTTAATATATTACAAGACTCTTACGTCAGGTCATAAAATCATAGAACAGCCCACGTTGGAAGGGACCGTGAAAGATCAGCTGGCCCAGCCTTTCGTGGGAAAGGGAACCTAGGTGAAATTATCTAGCACCCTGCCCAGTCGCATCTTGAAAACCTCCAGCGATGGGGATTCTACCACGTCCCTGGGGAGGTTATTCCAGTGAATGACTGTTCTCACTGTAAAAAATTTCTTTCTTATATCAAGTTGAAGCACTTGTAGAATATGCTTTGTTGAAAAGTGAATACTGAAGTACTTCTTGAGTAAACTGAAGTACATAAACGGCTTGTGATCCTGATGTCTTTCTTTTTCTGTTTAGATGAGAAATATCAAACTATCAGATTTCACTGAGTCTTTGAAGAAGATAAAACGCAGTTTGAGCCCTCAGACCCTGGAAGCATATATTCGCTGGAACAAGGACTTTGGAGATACCACAGTGTGAAACACTACTTGAAGTGAAACAAGTGCTGCCTGAGGAGCAGTTGGTACAGACTACTGGAGAGCAGCCAGAGTTTACAGGACTTTACAGATCTTTAAGTATCTGCATTAAAACTTGAGATTAAGAAGAAATTAATGTGAAACGTGTTCATCAAAGCCTCCTTGCCATTTAGTGAGGATTTACATACTGTAAGTAAGAGCACAATAGGACTTGAGATAAGATTCCTAGCAATCTGATTATGGTTTGAACAATAATATATGTATTTTGTTTCAGCTAGAAGGCTCTGATGATATTAATCATTGGAAGACCTTTTCCCTATGTTGTGTGTGTGTGTGTGTGTGTGTGTGGTTTTTTAATCTTTAATTTTGCCATGACATTGATGTCTGGCTTTCTTCCTGATAGTACTAACTTGCAATTGGAGGTTTGTAAACTTTGGTTCAGTTTTTGACTTTTTTATCCTTAATGTGCCAAATAAAACAATTTCCCTATGCAGAGGGGAAGAACAGCATTGGGAAATTATGATTATTAAAATGTAAAAAGCAGCTGGTCTGTTATTATTTGTCTTTTTGTTTAGTTGTAATGTGACTGTATTGTTCACAGAACAGTTTTAAGAAGACCTTTGATAGCAGAACAGCAAAAAACCTCAACCCTATAAAACCAATTCAAACCGTCTTTTAAAAAAGAAAATAAATTACTAAATGAAAACATAGACTAAGACATTTATTTACTGGCAGTATTTTCTCTTAATGCATTTTGTAACGCTTCCACTGGTAGAATGTTAGCTTATGCTTATGGTATGCAACTTGAAGCCCAGCTGATGTTTGAGAGAGTAAGTGATGCTAATTGTCAGTTTTCAGAAATGATGTGTTTCTACTCTGTATTTTGGTCTGTTTATGATAATTGAAAGTAAAATTGCCATTGTGATAATTTTTTTTTAATCTACACGTGTAAGAATTAAAATACAAGGCTACATGTTTAATACATGGCACACATTAATGTTTTTATAGCTTTCATATGTTTTGGTTTATATATTAAAGTACAAAACACTCAACTGATCCGCTTTTTTTAAAAAGAAACTGCATCTTTGTACAAATACTTGTTTTTATTATATAAATGACAAGGTATTAAAAAAACCACGTAAGTGTTAGCCTTTAAATACTATAATAAAGGAAAACATCTTTGCCTTTACTTCTAAAGGCCTGACATCTTGTTTACAAATTCTGCATGGATTCAACACAGATGTTTGCAAGGCGGCAGAACACGAGTTCCTTTTTAGAGCAGGTTTGTGGGGTTTTGTTTTGGTTTTTTAAAGACAATTCTCCCAACTTAGTGATACTACAAAAATGCATATTGTTTACAGTTGTTTAAACTAAATTGAGTTATAAGCTTTGTTTGCTTTTGGTCTTAACAGAAAATTTTGTTCATGATTTTTCATTTAACTTATTTTTTTATTAGTAGGAGTAAGTAAAATATTTCTGGGACTACTCACCTGCAAGTTGACTAGGAGTAATATATTATACATATAAATATACATATAAATATATATATATATATATGAGAAAAATCCCTAGCTGATAGATGCAGTATAAGTATAGTAATACCCAGAGAGGACTCTGCTCACTGCATAGTATTGGGTACTAAATAGCAGAAACTTGAGACACACAGATGCAATATGTTTGGGATTCTCTGTTTTTGAACCAGAGATGCTTTCAATTGGTCTTAAGATTAAAAGCAATTATGTAGAAGAGAATTGTTTTACACTAGTATGCCTTTTGAAATAGTCTAACCAAACCACTTCTAGCCTTCTAAGGGTATAACTCTCTCAAATGTATGTCTGATGTAAATGAAACATGTGACTTCTGTTCCCCCTGTTTCACTTTCCAGAAGTGAGAAATGCTAAAAGATTTCAGTTGCTTAAATCTCATGTATTGCTTGCTTTGCCTTAGTTCTGCCTTCAGTAGACCATCTCTGGCTGACTTGATCCATATCTGTCATAGAATTCATAGTGCAAAGCATGAATATTACTGTTTCATTAGCATCTGCCAGATGGCTGAACAGCTAAGAAAGGCCCTTGGTCTTCTTGTTCATAAAGCTTGTAAACTTTCCTTGAAATCCTTTGCAAATGAGGACCTTGACGGTAACACTTCTGGTTTTGAGTGCTCCTAAATATTTGTTATCAAACTCTGCTTTCCTCCATTTAATTTAGAGGAATATACTGGTATTTATTTCAAATACATACCTACTGGCATGTGATAGGTACCTGAAATGTAGAGGTAGAAGTTCCCATCTGCTAAAACACCACCACCAGTATGCAGCACAAGGGGTCATAAGTCCGAGCTGTTACTTCAGAAAGAAAAGGGACTAGCCCTTTTGCATGTTTGTGCATCCAGTTCATCAGGTCAAGAGAATCTGTGTGACTGGTACCACTGCTTTCTGGTTATCTATTTTGCCCTGATTGATTTCTGCGTAATGGATGACTTACAGCTCTATAAATTACTTCTAGAACACAGTAATAAGAACTTAATTTTGTTCTGCAACATCAGTTTGCCCCACAGCTGTTGGATTTTTAGTCCAAGACCAAGTGCCATTTGGATCATAAATTGCCTTTAAGTGTCTTTCTTGTGCTATTTTCTGAATAGTGTCTTCTGAGAATAATTCTGTTCCCCGTATGACATGATCTTGCATCTTCCCATTCCTTGTTTTACATCTACCGAGTAAGTCCCAGCTCAGTGAATTTCATCTATATGTTGAATTAACTGTGAATAAAAGCAGATCTGGAGGAAAACAAAACAAAAACTGTAACATACACCACCTCCCTCCTCCCAAAAAACCCCAAAATACTTGTATTTCTGAAATCTTTAGTGTTTTAGATAGAACTTTGCAATTGTATTTACCTTTAAAATCTGATTAGTATCTTGAATTAGAATAGGATAAGCAGGACAGCAGCTTAGATGCTTTTAACCTTTGCAAAGATTGGCGTTACATTAGCTCTGTAAACTGCCTTTTTTTTTTCCTGAATCTGCCCACTGCTAATGAATGAGTGACCTGAGCCACTTTTTGAGATTAGGAAGCAGCTTGTCTGTCCCTCTGCAAATGTGTCTTACTGACTTAAAAGTGTAGCAGTTACTGGAGGGAGAAAACAAAAAACCAACCCAAGCCCCCAGTTTTTTTAACAACTTTCTTCATATGCCTTTGCCTCTTTTTATTAAGCAGGAAACGCACCTTTTGTCTTTCTACATGTTACAAGAACAATGTCTTCTCGGGCTATGGGTTGCTGCTTTTGGTGGCATAATAGGAGGGAAAAACTCAAGCGCTGTGTGGTGCTGTTTCTCCTTAAAATGAGAATTTGTCATGTGTTATGATGTTCCCTTTACTAATGTTGGCTTTTCTGAAGAGTACACCAAACCTGTACGGGTGCTCTCCTTGCGGGTAAGACAAAAATAACACTGAATATTAAAGATAAGCCTTAAACTAGGATATTTATGCACATGTAAGTCTCTCTGTCCTGTTTGTTTCTTAGACTTCAGAGTTCAGCGTTTTAGAAATAGGCATTCTGCCCCAGAGACATCTTACTGATTCTACTTCAGAAAGTCAGTCGCTGAAACAGTTTTGGTGAACATGGCCCTGCAACTTAACTTTATGTAGATAACAAATGTGATAGTAACACTTCAAGTGGAAAAGAATGGTATCTCTGAACTGAGAAAGAACTTGTCACTGCAGTAATTAGAGGCCATTGCTGATTTCACTGTCAGGTTCTCTCAAATGGTTTTGAAATTACAGTTTTTATGCATATAACTTATTCAGACAATTAACCTTTAGTTCTGGTGTAGAATAAATAGTATTTTTTTTTCTATTTTAAACAAGCTGGTTTTAGCACTGATTGACATTGCTGACAAGTTCACCTCGTGAAATTTAAGTACTTATTACTGGGAATACTGAAGTTGGACATGCTGGCAAATTTAACTGAGATGTCTGTTCTGCAACCGGTGTGGAAAGCCTTGTTCCACTTAGGGCTTCCTTAACCACTTCTGGTGAAACTCTGTGCCCTCAGTTCTTACAGTGCTTTCCTACCCAAGACATGGATCATGCACAGTTGTGCCTCAGACATGCTTCAGTGATGCTTCTGCATGTAGCAGCTTTGGGAGGCGGCAAGCGCTACTGTAGGTTACAGATCTTCGTTCATTGGTTGTGGTGGTCTCAAGCTTCTGTGATGTTTTTAGTGTTGGGGACTTCTACCAGATATCAAAATGGAATGAAAAGTAGCAAGCAAGTAGTGAATGCAATAAGTTATCTCAGTCATTGTGCAAATTAGAGGCAGTTGTTGATTTCATTGTTGGCTTCTCTTGAGCCGCTGTTTAATGTTGAAGATGATGTTTTACTCACCTGTGTGAATTTTCATGCTTGGGATGATCTGAAGGTCATCCTGACAGATGGCCAGTGGATCGGTTATTTTCTTTTAGAATGTTTTCTTTAAATATTCTTTTCAATATCTTAAAAAAAAATAAAAAATTGTAACTATAATTCCACAGGATGAGGAAGTTAAATTGTTGCTTCCTGCAAATACAGAATCATCTTCTGAAGTATGGGGAAATGTGTACTGTGTTTTCCCTGCTTCTCACGTAAATCGTTAACTGTCTTAGAATGGAAACTGTTTACTTTGTCAATAACTACCTCCTGAGTCAGGCAATAATTGGCAAGGTATACGCTCCTCCAATGGATTAAATATATTGGCTCAACACTGTGGGCTCTTCAGAGTTTGATCTTTTGGTTTGCAAATTCTTGACGTGATGTCAGGCAACTACGGTGATCAGCCTTGTTTTACCGTAAGACTTCCCTTGCCTTCATAAGACACACTTCTTTAAAATCCTCTTTCAGAGAAGTGGCTTTGAGGAAAAAGGTCGACATTCTTTGCAGTTGGTTAATAGAGGCATTTTCTTCTGAGATGCTCGGGGTGTAGCCTCCTGGTTCTGCAGATTTTATTACCATTAGAAATGGGGAAGGAAAGTACTTTATCTAATACTCGCACATCTATCAAAGGGACAGGAACTATAGAAACTGTTTTTGCCACATGATTCAAACTTTTATTCATGTGAAGGGCTAGTCAGTATTTTCAGAAATCTGGATTAAAGTGACAGAAACCAAAGGTGGAGACAAAACACTGTACCCCACCCCTATTAAATATATTGGATGACTCCAGTCTGGGATGGGGTTAGTTCTTGTATTTTGTTGTTTCGAAGCACTTTTGTTTCATTGTTCTTTTAATAATGTTTTCTGAAATGTTAAATGCCATTTTATTAATAAGCAATGTAAAAAAGCATGATGAGCAGTCACATAGCTTTAGCTTCACAATAAAATGTTGAATTTGTCCTGTTCTTAGTGTTTTCTTGTCTGTTTATCAGATCAAATGCCCAAAACTATGAGCCTTTTCATTAAATCTGAAACTGGTTTAATTGCTGCTGGTTTAAAAAAATAAAAATAAAAATCAGGTATCAGGTGTTGTGTAGCAGATGATGGAACAATAAATATGTAAATACCTCAGTTTCTAAAGGACATAACTCAATTTCTTTAAAATAATGTAAACAGAAGTGCTACTTCCTAAATAAATGTACTAAACCTGAAAGTGTGTGCCTATCCTAGTGTCGCTAAATCACAGCGAAAACCACGCAGTTCCACATAACTAATTTTGGTAGTCCTGGTGAGGTCCTGAAAATAGCTCTTTGGAGCAAATTTACTTGATATCAAAATGGCACCTTTGCACCTTTTCTTTTCCTAGAGGGAGAGTGCTGATATTATTTTTGAAGTAACAATCTAAATTCTTCAATTTATCCCCATCTCCTTACTGTTTGTAATTCTTTCTGGCTATTGTCTGCAGGTTGTATTTGGACTGTTAACAACTACTGGGGATTTCTGTTCTTACAGTTACATCCTGAAGATAAGACTTTAAAAAAAAAAAAGTCATTTTAATATTACATATGTGGCAGTATTAGGGGTCTCTCAAAAAGCAGCCATGTCATTTTATCTAACAAGCAAACCACATAAAAATCAATACAGGAACCAGGGGAAAAAAACCCCAATGTTTTGGACTAAAGCATAAGAGCTATGACTGCTCCTGTCAAGCATTAATTCCTTGGGATAGAGAGACACTGCTGTTGTCTCTGTGGGATAATAACCCGGTACCTCTCTTTGGC